GCATCTTCGCTCTCCCACCTCTTTAAAAGTTCGGAGCGACAATATAAGATTACGCTCTGGAACAACATTATGGATCATCTAGCAGGATGTGTTCTGTCAGGTCAAAAGACAAGCAGTACATGTCCTTGTTGGGCGCTACGCTCCTAACAAAGTGTAGAGACAAGCCTGGCGTAGCCCTAGCCGTAGCTTCATTTTGCCTTTTCGTCTCCTCCAGCTTTGTCGGCTGTGCTGAGAAGTGCTGCAGCTGAGCTTTGGACGGGGTTGCGTCAATGTCTGTAGTGGAACGATTGGTTGTAGAACGACGCGCGTCGGGCGAAGGATCAGGCGGAGCAATTAGACGATGATGATCCTCGAGACCCAGGGCATCATTGGCGCGCTGTCCGCGGAATGTGAGAGAGGATGACGATATTCACCAAAAGCGAAAGTTGGGGGGCGTTTGAAAGAGGGCGAGGAGAAGGAAAACGGAAACGAGAGAGAGAGAAGGAGAGGAAGGGCGGGGAAGAGTGTGAGCAAGGCAAGTTCTGGTAGCATGCTCGAGTGATGATCGTCGGACCAATCAAGTGCGTAGCCCCTTCTCCTTGGCTTCATGCACAGCCCCCCATCAAGAATGGTCAACGATGTTCCTAACCCGCAACTCACCATCACGATATCCTCAAAAGGTCTTTGCAGATCCTTGGTGAAACAATGCACATGGACCCTGGGCAATCTCCTGCCGCCTGCCTCGCCTTCTTTCTGGTCCAAATACCTTTGAAGCTCCTCTTGTCCGATACGTCTTCTCAAGCCTATCCAAGCGCCTCTGAACGCGTCCAAGAATTCCAAAGCGATGCTGGGCAGATTGAGCACGTAGTGATCTACCATTCGTCGGGGTGAGGAGCGTGGCATGCCAAGTGTTGTTGCTCGATTGTCATTGTTGGAGGGTTGTTGTGCGCCTGAGGAGGAGGCGGAGGCGGCGGCGGCGGCGTTGCGAGCGGACCTAGCAGCCTTTGCCGCAGCATTTGGACTCTGAAGCAACATCCTTCTATCTTGCTCTCGTATCGGAGCGCCTTCAAAAGCTTCGTTCCAAAGCCTCTCCACACTCTGCCTCACAAACTCTCTCCCATCCACATTCTCCACTCTGATCCTCTTGCCCTCCTGCCCCTCGACCCTGTTCCTCTTGACATTGGCGCATAGCGATTCGTACGAAGCGGGATTCAGATCGTTGCACAGCACGTACACGCCCTTTTTGGCTGCTGGGATCGAAAAAGGTCCTACGCCCGCCATCACATCGCAGAGCACTTCCCAAGGCTCCATCAATCCCACAATTCGTGCATGCTCCGAATGCAGACGAGAGTTCCAGTACACTGTTCGAAAGTCGAAGGTGAATTCGCACGATTGTTCCGTCTGGCACGCACGCGCGCGTGGCAGAGTGCGCCGAGAATGACAGAAAGTTTCGATGAGGATCGTAGCAAACAAAGGAGTGCCAGAGGGCGCCAAATGTAAGGTGAGGACGTCTTGTGCGTTTGAGTCGCGCGAGGCCGTATCAAGCACGCCTGTAAGAAGACTCACCGCTGTGACGATGTAGTCCTCTTCCCCCGCAATAAGTTCCATCTGAAAGAATCTGAACTGAGTATCAATGGTATCCAGCTTATTCACCACCGTTCTGATGCCATTGTTCTTCTGAAGAGTGAGAGGCGAGGGGAGGGGAAAGGGTATGCAGGGAAGGGATGAGCGCGATAAAGCAAGCAATCGAAATCGAAATCGAAAGCGACCGATGGATGGGCTCTTGACTCTTCGGCTTTGACCACGCATCTGACGCATCTGTCAATGCGTCGCCTCTCCTTGACTCTTCGTACCTGTATTCACTCACATCGAGAATAGCTTGTCCGATGATGTACCTAAAAGGCAGGTACTCCTCTCTCAGATTCAAATGCGCTGCGTACCCATGGCCCAAAAAAAGTAGTCATCTTTCCGAATCAGCATGTCAAGATAATGCTGCATCGATTCGCACCGCGCAGGAGAAGCAAAGCGCTCCATTGACTGTCCGCCCTGAAAGACCACCGTGTACAGACTCTCGACGCACCGATGTGTCCTACAGCAGTAAATGCCGTCGGAGTGCCCTCTGGTAATTCTCGCGGCAACAGCGTTGCGAGCACCTGATCGGCGGACCAATAGTCGTACGTAATCTCCAGCTTGTGCTTCGTCAGCCGCACATTGGGCGTGCTGCGCACGAAATCGTGAAGCGCGTCCATCTGCTGCTTCGTGAAGGATTGTGGTCGATTGGAAGAGGTGTGATCGGAGCTGCACGACTGCGAGAATGAGGACGGGGTCGGGTCGTCCACTGGTTGCCTTGACGATGACGCGTCGGCATCGCACTTGGAGTCGGAGTCGGAGTCAGAGTCTGAGTCTGAGTCTGCGAGCAGGGAAAGCAGAACCAGTCGTCTTTGTTCTTGTTGCGCTTGTATTTCCTTTTCTCCTTCTTGCGGCGTGGCCACACCGGTATGAGGACAGGGTATTATCGTCTTGATTCCCTTTTCCCTGAGTGCGAACCTGTCCATGTCCATGCGCATGTCCACGTGGAGCGACGATGTGAGCCAAGTTGTGCGACAAGCACCGATCCAGCTCATCGCCCCATCCGACGTAGCACTCACGCAGCGACACTCTCGCTCCTAGCTATCCTCGCGCTATCCTTCGCCAACACCTCGAGTGCCCAAACAGTATACGTCCGCTC